ATTTTTTTTTTCAGATCCAGCCATTAGTTATGGTTGATTTGTTGATAAGATCGTTGATTTTTGATAAGATCATTGGACCTTGATGAAGGATGGAAAATTTACAAAGGTAAATGTTCGTTTTCTTTTGTGAGTGCTTTCAAGTATAGCAGAAGGCTATGATTCCAGGCATTTGAGTTAAACCTAATTTGCACCATAACTGTCAAGGGACCCCACAAACCAAAGGTGCCACCTGTTAAATATTTAAGCTGGGTGATTGTACTTTGTGCACACTACACAAGGCTAAAGAAAATCAGAAAGTAGGCTGGGACCAGAGGAAATACTCCCACTTGGCAGATTTGTAAATTTAGGACAGACATTTCCGCCCTCGATCATTACATTTGGAAATCAAATGAACTTGGTTCAGCCGAGCATATTCACCAAGGGACACATACTCTAGGTTGGGTACAACACCAGCAAAAAAATATATATATATATTGTAATTTGCTTGAGTAACTAAATGCAAGATGGTGAGGTAGAGCGTACTAGGAGCAAACCTGTTCACATGTGCATGTGTTGCAGTTTGTGGTATGATGGTAATGCAAGAAATGGTTGGGCAGTAAAAACAAATGTCACCATCCCCACAATTTCAATCAAATACTTGTGTGCTGAGAAGTGGACTGTTCTAGCAAGTTGATTTGTAAGCAATGTCTTGGGATTCCTTTTCTTATGCCATGCTAAGTTGAAACCGGCTGTGAAGTCATGAACAGATTTATTGGGACACAACAAGTCACCGCTAAGAGTGCACACAACACTGCATCAGCATGTTTAATTATTTCCACGACCCTCACTGCTCTCTAAAATCACCTAAAATACATTAGCAACAACAACACACACCGTGATTTCCCTGATTTCCTCCCCCTTATGATTAATTCATTCATTCAGTTCATGGCTCTAATAACGACCCAATTACCAGAAGCCAAATGGATTTAGAGGAATTAGTATGGGACTGTATAATGATGACATATGAATTTAAGGCGGGGGGGCTCATTGGATTCAATGAATGGAAAGCAACAATGTAGGCTTCCCACTCACACTTTAAGGATAATGACAGTACAAGAGATTGAGCTAAGTGTCCACCTACTCAATGTGCTTCACAAAAATCGTTCAGGCAAAGCATGCAGATTGACATTTAATCGTGAAGCAATTGTGAGGGCTTGTAGTGGTGGGTGGCGGTGGCTCATCCACAAAGAACTGATTTGAGAAATGGAAGCAGACAAATAAATATTCGTCATGGACACAAAAACAACAGACTCCTACGGACTAAGGAATGTGAGGGCTAGACTAGTTGCTGGAGAGATGCTCAAAACCTGATGCACGTAAGAAAGATGACAGAGGAAAACTCATTTCCGCATAATTAAGGTTTATCCTGTTTGCAATTTGTGAAACTGTGTTTTATCTGACTTTTACATCAACTACTTTATCATCTGCCATTTTACCCTGTTTTGTCAACTGAAGCTGGGGTTGTTCCATCGATAAAGTACGGGGCCACGAACGTGGCTTTTACTGGGACTACAGATGAGAACCTTTGATGGAGAGAGTCCCTGCGGCTACATAAACTGCTGGTGTCTTCTGAAAAATCCTTAAGGATAAGCCAAATCCAGATGTGCAAGAGCCGACAGCATGGGATGTGCACCAAGTACTTAGACATGTCGAATGACGGATATCCTTCCTTGATCCGTTTTTGGATCTTGTTAAGCTTATGGATAAAACGAAGTGACAGAAGATTGGATATTCCTCTGAGGAATACCACCAAGTCTTCTCACTGGAATGATCTTCTCTTCAATAAAAAAGAGGCGCTTTTTTTTTTTTTTTATTGTTGTTATCCACCCGTGTTTTTGAGAATAGAAATAGACAACCATCGCTTTACTGTGCAATGTGTTCTCATTGTCTGTGTAATTTTTCAAAACAAACATTTCAAGCCAAACAACAATAGCAGAGAACAACCATTCCGAATTGACGCTTGATGCTGTGCAGGTATTTTCCTCCGAAGGTTTTGATGCTCTACCTCCGGAGACAATGTTATCAATTTTCATCAACATATAGTAAGAAGTGGCGTCCCGCAGCTTTATGGCGCACCGTGTCAATTCGGATCATCCTATATGACGACTGAAATCGGCCTCGAACTATGGCAAACATCATTAAGAAACAGTGAGTCTGGAACCCCCATCATACGAGAAATGTCAAATCAGAGCCTTCATCTGTGAAGTCTGAAGCATTCTCAAGGGTGGGTGCAGACAATTGACATGTCAAATGCAGTCCGATCATTTAGCATTGACCAGATCTCAGTTCAAAAGTAAGAACTGGACGTTGTTTTTTTTTCGCCTGTAAGGGCAAATACGTGTGAAAAAATTAACACGTGAATCATTGTTTTACGAGTTACCAGTTTGGCTCAATTTGCTGTAAACAAATATGCAGTGTCAGGCGTTGACCTATGGAAATAGTCACAATTTGAGCAAAGTATATGTTCCAATTGATTCTGGGATTAAATTTGTTGCACAGATGACAGGGCTTTATTCGCTCTGAGATCGGCTTCTGGTTTCAGGCTTCCTAAAACTGCTCTCTCCTTTGGGGCTCTAGGTAATTGATTCATGGTCATGAAACAGATATTTGCATAGTCAGCAAGAACCGCACAGGGACAAACTCCAGCATTAATGTTCTTTTTTTTTTCTCTCCATTCAGTGATGCCTGATATAAGTTGAAGGTCTCGAACCCTACAAGCCTCTCTCAGGTTTTCAAAGAAAATGTGTATAATATAGTACTAAAGCATAACACTTATGTAGACATCAGAAGTGCAGTCCAATTGAAAATAATCATGAGACGAATGTTATGTATAATAGTTCCAAAGCTTTTGGGGGGCAGACAGGTGCAAATCGATTGGCATATCACACTGTACAATACTGGGTGTAACTGCAAAGATAAAATGTCACAATTACTACCATTCACCCCTTGTTTCTTGAGAAAAATTTAAAAGTGAAAGTGTATAACTAAAGACAATGGGGGTAGAGGAAAGGTTGAAAATGTTCTTACCTCTTAAAAGTAACACCACAGACAGCGGCACAAAGATATTCAACATGTTTCTTGGATTGATGTGAGGGGAACTCACCCCAAAATAAAATCAAAGCAAAATGTCTTAATTCAAAGGGAAAAATGCAATTCTTGCATCCTTCTTTGAAACAAAAAAAAAGAGAAGACGATGCAAACTTCTTCCGGGCTGAACAAAACAATTCTAAAATAAACCTTTATAAAAGGTGCCTTTGTTGTTGGATTGTTTGTCGTCCTCTTTGCCTTGAATATGAAGAGGGGAAACTTGCGCGCATTTTTGAGCCTCTTTCAATCATTTTCGGAAAATAGCAAGGATTAAATGTTGTGTCAACGATCACGTTGACGTGTCCCAACGAAGCAAAAGGTACGAAATGTGTTGAATGGCGTTCTTCAAAGCATCACTTCGTTGTTTGCGTGGCAAAAGGTTCCTGAAGTAAACTGCCGGGGAAAAAATGCGCTACGAAAACAAAAGAACAGTTCAAGTCCAAACACCACACATCATATCGCTCCCATGAAAGCATTCATCAAGTCCGGATGAGAACTCCAGCTGCTCCAACTGCACAAGACGCAAAGACGAATAAAACGAAAGCTTCCAAACCACTTTGGCATCAGGTGCTTCAAAATATTCAACGAAAGTCCGACTTCGTGCGTGCGCAGCGTGCGTGTGTCGGCAGGTTATTGGCTCCTGCCACAAAAAAAAAAACGCGTCGGAAAAAGAGAAAGAAGGAAGCCAATAGCAGGGGATAGTAAGTTGTACAGACACCCACCAGGGGGGCTAGCTCTTCACTAAACAAATACAAATATGCACGCGTGCACGCACTCACAAACAGTTATATACGCGCGCGCGCACACACGAACACCCCAAAACGTCAGGTCTTCCATACAATGTAGTCCTCGCGCATCTCATTGAATCCAAATACAATGTTGGACACAGAAATGTCGTCTGTAGTAATTTAATAATGTTGTCCATTTGCAGTATTGTCGGATGACTCTCGGTGTCTTTTTATTATTTTTTTTTTTTTTTTGATGAGAGTGCAAACTTGCTCGGCCAAGTGAATGGACGTGCACTTCTTGGAGGGTACGAGCGACCCCCTGCGCTGTGACTACTCAACTGACAATCGAAGAGGCATTCAGGCATGATTGCTGATAACTTCGTGGTTATTATAAAGAGGTGAAAAGAACAGATTAGACCTCTTTGTCTTTCACAGAAAGTCACCGCATTTATTTGAATACACGCTGGTTTATTTGAAAGCTCATTATTCAATTTAGTAATCATAATGCATGTTCTGTGGTAGCCCATAAAACATATTTCACAAAATCTATAAATAACTGGAGTAATTTGGAAACGGATGAAAACGCAAGAGTCGCCAACAGCCAAAACATTCATTTGTGTTTTTTTTCCAATCACTGAGTCTATTTCCTATTTTATTTAGCCTTTCTCCTACAATATGATCTGTGAAACTACTCAGAAAGAAATCTCAATTATGTTGTATGTTGTACGTAGAGCGTATGTGACAATAAAGCTGACTTGACTGGACTTGAGAAGACGGCTGATCATTTAGGATTTAGAATATGAGGGCTGTTGTGCACATTATTTTTATTTGTAGAAATCCATTCATTGCAGTTGGCTGTCCCCCGCCTATTGCCCAAAGACAGCTGGGATAGGCTCCAGCACGCCCGCAACCCTTGTGAGCATAAAGCGGATCGGAAAATGGATGGATGGATTAATATAGGGCACCGGTAGCTCACCTGTAGCTAGAACTACTGCTTTGGAACCAGAGGGTTAGAGTTGCAGTCATTTTCTATGTTAAGATTAAGTTAAGTCATTAAACGCATTACACTATTGATAAGAAACGAATGGATGGATGGATGGACATCCATTCATTATCATTGCAAGTTGTACCTAGAGTGAGCATAAAAGGAATAGAAGATGGATGGATAAACTGCAACCATATGAGGTCAGACTCAATCTGCCTCTTTTTTCAACTTTTTAATACATCTGTTTGGTGAGTTTTCATTCTATTAGTTTCAGGAAATACAGAAATTTGCTTGTGCCAAGTTGTGTGCAATTTGATGCTGGAATCTTTCTCCAAAAAGCATGAAAAGCGGAGGTTGCATAAAGTGTTGATGGAGAGAAGTCCCCGTGCTCCTTTTAATGGTGAGCTGGTGGGCTTATATAATCATCCAAAAAGAGTTCTTTCTGACACTCCAATAAATCCCTTGAAACCCAGGCCAGACTGAGGTCCATTGAACAGCTGGAAAGCAAATACAGCAACATGCAGTGCCCTAGTGACTTAGGTTACATCTTCTGTAGCTGCAAGTCATTAAAAAATGTCTGAACTCCTTGAGGCTCTCCATATGGAAATTACATTTTGCTGGCCAAATTACTGAGGTGTTGGCGGCTGCAAAAACACACACATCATCCGTCTCCTGTCCGACAAGTACCTGCACAAAGCGGGTTTGCTCTTCGAGAGGTGCAACATGAAAGTATAACATCAAGTTGATTGTGTGTGAACAGATGTGGCATTTCGATCGGAAGACTGACTGAAGACTTTGATGTATGGAAAAAGGTCTCAAGTCTGTGAAGCCTTAGAAGCTCTCATGCCTTGGACATCGACCCAAAGAATGAAATGCCACGCATGTAAGGCTGCACAAACCTTTGTGCAAGTTCTTTTTTTGTGAACTTTCCATTAATTATATATGCAGTCACTATATGTGCGTGTGTGTGTGTGTGTGTGTGTGTGTGTGTGTGTGTGTGTGTGTGTGTGTGTGTGTGTGTGTGTGTGTCTTCATGTTATTAAATGAGCTTTGTTGAAAATATGGTTCTTGTGGAGGTTTTGAATTGTCTCTTTTGTTAGGCAGGATCACAGATTTCAGAGGTGGGGCCGTTGGCGCTCTCACCAAAAGTCTAGAATTTGGTGCTTGGGATGGAGAGCAGGCCAACATCAGCTGAACGCAGCATCAGTGAAGGGGTGTTGGGATAAAGGAGGTTTGTATAATGGGGCCAAGCCAAGCAGTGTAAGAATTTATTGGGCATTAGGAGAACTTTGACGACTCGTGAAGGCATATGAGGTGATGAGCTGCCAGGGCTTTGAGGGCTTTGCGAGGGTGATAACTCTGACAGTGGAGTTCTGGTCTGACTGGAGGCGCTCCAGGACCTTGTAAAAACCACCCACACAGGACTCTGTTGCAGTAGTCTCAATGAGAAGTGGTCAGTGACAGTGAATGATGGGCAAAGTCAGAAATATGGTGTATGGTGAAAGAAGGCTGACTTGGAGATGAATTTTCATCCATCCATCCATTTTCTGATCCGCTTATCCTCACAAGGGTCGCGGGTGAGCTGGAGCCGATCCCAGCTGTCTTCGGGCAGCATGCGGGGTACACCCTGAACTGGTTGTCAGCCAGGTGCAGAAGATGCCTTTTTTTGTCGCTATGTCTCACCTTATGACCTTCAGTAACTCTCCGGGCCATACACTCCTCCTGTTCTTTGTATTGAGCCGAATAAATCATTCCATAAGTCTTTTGAGGAGGTATCCTTCATCCATGACCTTAACCAGCCGCAGTAGCTTTTCCGAATGTCAGTTGGGGACAGGAGGCCCAGATTCATCAGCACCTTTTGTTCTCCCCTCTTGCTCTATCTGATCTATAATAGCATTAATAACGACTGCTGCGGAATACCCTGTCGCCCTCTGTACCTTGCCCACCTCCAGGCCTGTGCAGATCTCCACCATCCATTCGTAGGCCATTAAAACTGTATTTACTTATCAGCCTTTCTGGGTCTGTCACTTCATTTTGAAGCCCGATGCCCAGAAGGAAGAAATCGAGTGACCTTCCTCTGCCCTCCAGTGCGGCGAGGCACAATTCAGAACTGTCTGTCGTTCCAATTCCTGCCTTATTTCTGCAAGAAGCCTTTTCAAACGACGATTATGGCATCTACCATTAAATGAATGTCGATAAGATTAGACTTTTCTTTATATGAACTATAATGAACATCATTGTAAAACATCAATTCATGTGAGTAATTTCAACTGAAAGGACACTTTTTTGGGCAAGAAATATTTAATACATGCCAGATGGCAGTGACAATCCATCCGTACATTTTCTATCACGCTTATCCTGTTTGCAGGGCAATGTGGCTTAATCCATCTAAGTATGGTCCATAGGCAGACGACTTCCTGCAATCACGAGGCACATATGAGGACAGACAACCTTGAACTTCTCATCCTCACCTACACACGGCCACTGACTGATAATTGAACCCACACTTAGTGCACAGACGTCAGGTGAATGATTCGTTACAGTGACTGGTGTTGAACCCAAGCGCAAAAAATAAAACTCGAGGCAACTATTTTCGGGCCCAGCACAAGTCTAATGCAGTGTTTCTCAAATAGTGGGGTGCACCCCCCCTCCCCCCCCGGGGAGCCGCGAGGCTCCGTCAAGGGGGGCGCGTTTGACCTCGGGGAACATGCTTTTTTATTTTTTTACTGTCCTAAGATAATGTGCAGTTGCATCTCCACTACATTAGGGGCAGTGGCGCTCTCATTGGCAGAGTTTGCGCAGGGAGGAAATATGACGAGACTTATGTAGCGCTTGGCTTCAGTGTGACTGCGGTAGCAGACGAGGAAAGATCAATGTGCTTACTGTGTCTAAAAATTTTGGTAGCGGACAGCATGAAGCCAAATAAATTAAGGCGTCACTGAAAGACATTACACCCCAATCACGCTGATAAGCTGCTTGAGTTTTTTTCAGCGAAAACGTGCCGAATATTGCCAACAATCATGCCGCTTTGTGACTGCTACATCAGTAAACTAAAATACAGCTACCGGCAGTGGCGGACCCTGAGGGCCAGCAAGGCCTTCTCTGCTGGCCTAAACATTCTCAGAAAAGTAAATTTACTTTTATGTATTTTATGTTATTTTATAATTTATGTTATTTTACTTTAACAAATATGTAAACAAAATTATTCTTTGTATTCTTTACATCATATTATTTCCACTTAGTTGAGTGGCTGTTATTTTAAATAACATTGAAAGCCACTCGATAAATAACTTATTTATTATGGTTTATTATTTATT